GTAGCAGTAGCAGTAGCAGGAGGAGTAGGAGTAGGAGTAGGAGTAGGAGTAGGAGTAGGAGTAGGAGTAGGAGTAGGAGTAGGAGTAGGAGTAGGAGTAGGAGTAGGAGTAGGAGTAAGAGTAGGCGTAGGAGTAGGAGTAGTAGCAGTAGCAGTAGCAGCATCCGTCGTCGTCGTCGTCGTCGTCGCTGGTGGTAGTAGCCGTTGGTTTTGTGGTATCGACACGATCAAAGCACATGTCAAGAGGTAGTGATATTAACATATGGCGATGGTGATACCACCGCTACTGACAACACCGGTGGAATTCAGTCGTACTGTGTTGCCGGGATTAGTGCTTTCCCTCAACCCTAAACCCCTCCAAAACCTTAAAATCTTGCGTTTGTGTTTTGTGTTGATGCGACGGTAGCCCAAAGCCTGTTTTTGGCATCACAAGATATTGCGGTTCCTGATGCGCAGCTTGTAAGGTGGGGGGCAAATCGATATGGTACATTCTGCAATGTTCTCGATGTCTCGGTTTTTGAAAGAACTTCCAAATGCATGAGCAAAAGTCATACCTGAGCCTGAATGATTCGCAACATCAGTCTCATCTACATACTTCTAAGTACGCTAGTTACAATTACAATATACCCCAAAACCCTGTTCCAGTTCTTATGCCCCCTATCGTAGGTGCAACACATTACGGTTTTGTGTATTCGCTATCACTCGGGACTGTACAGTCGTCGTTGTCGTTTGGGCAGCTGCCGTATATAGCAATCGCAACCGCCGTCTCTGGTTCAGGAGTAGTTGTAGTGTTGCTGCTGATAAATAAGTTAGCATTGCTGCTGGGATTAGAGCTCCAAGCCGTAGTTAACCACTGCTGTTCCTGTGTCCAACTGAAGACTTTAAGATTGTGCCTCAACTGCTCGTAGAACTGCGACAGGTGTAGGCCAGTGTAGGGTTTAGAGTCTTGATTCAAGAGCGAAGAACATGTTTCTGCCTTGTTGAGCGTTTTGATACAGTGACTTTCACCTCTGTGTTGGTAGCATCTTTGCATCGTTAATAACCTCTCTCCCTGTAACTCTCTTTGTACCTGCTGTTAGCAGCTACCCCGCAGAACCCATAAAGCTGTAGGTAATTAGAGCCCCAGGTCACTTAGCAAGAGGTCAAAGCCGATTCGCTCATTGTGACCCTAATATATGGGCCTCAATAATTATCTATACTATTTTTATGAGGGGCGGCTCCTTATCTGAGAACAAAAGCACCGGAAGAACAAGTCTAAAGCAGACTCACTGGATGATGACGGGCGTCTGGTATGATGAGTCTTAGTCCACGCCATTTCTCATAATGCCGGCTTGGACGTTGCACATGGCCTGTTCCTCCCTTTCCTTGGCCTGCTTGGGGTTCGGGAGGGCCAGCCGCAGCGTCGACACCATAACAGGCCAAAGCCAAGGCTCCAGCCCCCAACCCGAAACCCTAAACCCTAAACCCTAAACCTAAAACCTAAAACCTAAAGCCTAAAGCCTAAACCCTAAACCCTAACCCGAAACCCTAAACAGCGCCGGCGAAGGCCGGTTCGCCAACAGCAGACCGGCGGGTTTAGGGTTTAGGGCTTTAGGGTTTTAGGGTTTAGGGCTTTAGGGTTTTAGGGTTTTAGGGTTTTAGGCTTCGGGTTTGGGGTTTAGGGTTTAGGGTTTAGGGTTTAGGGTTTAGGGTTTTTGGGTTTTAGGTTTAGGGGAGGAGGACCTCTCCAGTTATAGCTCGCCGGGTGGCGACCGGTGCAGAGCGCTGCCCTTGCTGCGCCATGCTCAGGTGCTCAACGCAATGCCTGCGGGCTTTGTCAGCCTGGCGGCATTGCACCAGTGGCCGACACTAAATCACTAAATCCTAATTCTTAAACCCTGACCCTAAATCCTACACCTCAAACAACCCTAAACCCTAAATCCTACATCCTAAACAACCCTAAACCCTAAATCCTACACCTCAAACAACCCTAAACCTTAAATCCTACACCTCAAACAACCCTAAACCCTAAATCCTACACCCTAAAACCTAAATCCCTAAACCCTGAGCCCTCAAAACAGAACGAGAAATCAGGTCGATGGCGTCCGCGACTTCTGCGACTACGTAGCCGCCGATGTCACGAAAGGTCTGGAGGCCGCAGCTCCTTTAAGGGCGCCTGGGGTAGAGCGTTTAGGGGTTTAGGGGTTTAGGGTGGAGGGTTTAGGGGTTTAGGGGTTTTGGGTTTAGGGTGCCTCGGGGTAGAGGGTTCGATTCAGGACATTTGCGGAGCTTAGGGTGTGTGTGTCTGTGTGTGTGCATAGAGAGAGAGAGACAGAGAGAGAGAGAGAGAGAGAGAGAGAAAGAGATGGGGCTTAGGGTCGAGGTATTAGGGTTTCGGGTGTAGGGTCGTACAGGGTGTAGAGTTTAGAGTTATTGCCTGTACTGTAAGGATTTTGTGGGTACTATGGCGTGTGCCGGGGGCATGGAGTCGTCAGAGGTTTAGCTACATCATTGTTCCTTATACTTAGGGCTTGAAAGAGATCCGCTTCGAGTTTAGGAATTGGGTAACATAAGGGCTTAAATAATTGCATATTCTATTGTTGGGGGTTCCTTATTATGATTATAGTATAATATACCCCCAAACCCTACTCTAATCATCAAGGCTCATACATTATCGGGTTTAGGGCTTCGCGATTCGGGTGTGGGGTTTCGGGTTTCGTGCCTTCTTCGCAGAGAGGCACCCAAACACCTTACTTCAGGAGTTTATACACCCTAAACCCTATACCTTATGTAAGCCCTAAACCCTATCCTTCAGGAGTTTACGGGAAACCGTGGGATTCAGGTTCGGGGTGTTGGAGGCGTCGGGTTGGGAAGCGTGAGCTATATGTGTAGTTCTCGAAATATAACCACAGCATCTGGATACCATAGGGTTTTAGGGTTCTTTAAAGGGGTTTGGAGGGGTTTCTATACAGACTTTCTATAAGGGTACTATATGGTTAGCTGTCTAAATTCGGACCCCAAAAGGGACCTACTGGGAGAGCCAGGGGATATGATAAGTAGGAAGACACTGAGGGTTGGGGTTTAGGTTTAAGAATAAAGGTCTAGGGTTTAGGTTGGGGAGAAGGGTTTAGGGCTTAGGCCTTTGGGTTTAGGGTTTTTTAGGGCTTTGGGCTCCAATGGGTCCAGGCTTGCAGAACACAAAATAGATACGTGCAACTCTACTTCTTGCTTGGCTTGAACTTCCCTAGCCCCCATACCCTTGGAACACCGCTTAGCCCTGCAGAACCACCAGCAATGCATCTTGACACTAAACCCTACATCCTAAGCCCTATCCCATCCCAACTCCTACACTCTTACCCTAAACCTTAGACCCTAAACCGAAGCCCTAAACCCTAAGCCCTAAACCCTGAGCCCTGAGCCCTAAACCCTCCCAAGCCCTATATAAATCCTAAACCGTGCTGAACCCAAGCCCTGGATTCACCTTGAAAGCCTGCATTGGGACCCGAAACCCGAAACAAGATCTCGCATAGAACCTCTGCAATATCGGGGCCTTAATAACTAGAATTGTGTTTTTGGGGTTTATTATACTATGACAATAATATATATATATATATATATGTACAATAAGGAAGCCCCAAATAGTATTGGTAATTCGTTAAGCCCCTACAGTTCAGTAGATCCCTTCCCAGAACCCTCGGACCCCTTAAGATCCCTTCTGGAGCACAGGTAAATGCCTTTCAAGGAGTCCTGCATCCTAACCCTCATCTTCATCCTCTGCTCCCCAAACCCCCAATACCCGAAACTTTGCCCTAAACCCTGACCTTTACTAATCTCTAGGGTTTAGGGGCTTGGGGTTTAGGGTTTAGGGTTTGGGCGAATCTTCATGAGAGCACCGACTGTCATGAGCAGGTGGTGGCCAGCAGCTTTGAGCATCTCCTGGCCAAGCATCTTAAGGCTCCCGACGCGGGCACGTGTACTGCAGGGTTCAGGGTTTAGGGAGTTGTTGGGGTTTTAGTATTTTGGGTTTAGGGTTTTAGTCTTTAGGGTTTAGGGTTTAGGGTTTGAGTGTTTAGGGTCTAGGGTTTAGGGAGGTTTGGGGTGGATAGGCTCTATAATATATGGTTACAGAGGGGGTTTAGGAGTTAGAGGGGTCAGGGATTCGAGCTCGAGGGGTTAAGAGGTTTAGGATGTAGGGTTTAGTGGTTCTGGCTTTGGGACAGATGCTTCAGCAAATTTTAGTAGGCGGTTCAATGGGGGTTCCCTTCGGGTACTGTACTCCCTCTAAGTTCAGCGTTCTTTATTCCACAAAAACACTAAACCCTAAACCCTAAACCCTAAACCCTAAACCAAACGCTAGTGCAGAAGCTTCAATACTTCATAAGACCTTCTCCTAGGGCTTTACTATTGGTGAAGGCCTCTATATGGCCCAAAGACTCCAAAGCCATTTTAGTCTTGAAGTTGCAGAGGAAGTCTATCTGAAGCTACAGAGAGGTCCATGGTTTGATTGAAGGTGGAATTTCGGGGCGTGGAATTCGGGCCCTAAATAACTACTAATACTATTTTGGAGGGTTCCTCATTATAAGTATAGTACATATAATGGGCCCCAAAACCTTATTCTATTTATTACGGCCCCGACATTATTCCTTGTTTATGGGAGTTTTGCAGTTTGAGAAACTCTATCGCTAGACCATGTATTGACGATAGCAGCACTATAGTAAATATGAGACTGGAGTAATTGCTCGGATTACAGGATGGTTGTGGCCAGGGAGTGGTCTGAGATCGGGCGTAGGCCCTTTACCACACAGGCTTTAAGGGCATTGCAACCTGAACGTCCACAAGGTTAATGTAGGGGCCTAAATAATTCCCTATACTATTTTGGGGGTTCCTTAATTCAATTGTTGTATATTCATATACCCCAAAACCCTATTCTAATTATGAAGGTCGCTATATAAGTGCCCTTAAGTCTTACAAACCCTAAACCCTAAACCCTAAACCCTAAACCGTGAACCCTAAATCCGCCCTGAAGTCTTAGAGCAACCAACGCCCTACTGACAGTGGCGAGGGCTTCTATCCTCAATTGCCCTGTCCATCCACAGCCCCTCAGCCGTCAATTCCAAAAGCCTACAAACCCAGAGGGGTAGTTCTCTAAATTAGGTTCGCTTTTAGGGTCCTTTTTATATAAGGGTGCCGTACTATTTTGGGGACCCAAAAAGGGGACCCTAATTTAGAGAACTACCCATATCAATGAACCCTACTTTGAACTACCAAAGCTTGCAACCAACAAACCTTCACCCTAGACCCTAAACCCTAACACCTAAACCCTAAATCGAACCGAAAAAAACTTCACCCTAGAGATCTTGGAAGAAGGTCCCTTTGGATCTCTTCACCTCGAACCTGACAGAAGACCCCTCCTTCAGCAGCCACGGCCTCACCAGGGTTTAGGGTTTAGGGATCAGCTGAAATCAAAGAAGGTCAAGGGGGTTCTGTGCGACTTCATGAGGTTCTGATAAGACTCTACCTTAAATTTTACGGTTTAGGGTGTAGGGTTTAGGGCTTAAGGCTTAAATCCTGAACCCGTCCTAAAACCCACAGAATAAGGTGTGAGTCATCTTATACGAGCTGCGGCTAACGGGATGAAAGCCTGAGCTCTATATTGCAATGTAGGGGCCTTCATGATTAGGCTACTGTTTTGGAGTCTATTCTGCCATACTGGTAATAAGGAGCCCAAAGGAATTATTGTATTAGTGATCCAGGCCGTTTCCAGCCACTCATCGTTCGACCAGTCATGCATGACACTTGTGAATCTGCCATACAGCTGTCGATGCCGCTAGAACGGGTTAGGCCGTCGTGAAGGTATAAGCTCAGAAATTGGCACAGGCTCGGTAATGGTACTATCCGACGTGAAGGTACTCCCATGCTTTGTGAATCCCTGCTTTTGCTCAGCTTCAAGAAGAGCTTTATGCCACCTCATCCCAGGATGTAAAAAAGTGTAAAAGGTTAGGTTAAGGAAGAACGATTTTCATAGCTCATTTCAACAGCACGCAGCAACCAGCTGCTTTAACAATAGGACAATCGGATAAGCTTCTCGTCTGAAGTTCGCTTGATGCATTGGTGATTACTCTTCCTTTACGCATGCTCATTCATCCAGTCTTACTCACTCGCCATAGATAGTCCTTGCACACTTATATAACCTTTATAGAAAAAGTACCCGACACACAAGCCAGCTTAGAGCTTACTCTTGCAAGGGCGCTTACATGTTGCTAGTTCTTCAGATGCATCGTTTAGGGGTTTAGGGGTTTAGGGTTTAGGTTTCGTACTAGTTTGCAGGCATTTCACCACTTGCCTCAGGTCGAGCCGGCCCCACTTCGAATCGCATCGATTCTTAGAAACCCTAAACCCTAACCCCCTAAACCCTTACTTAATCCTTCAGCCCTTAATTTTACAGCCTAAAGGCTTGTGGCTCCGAGCCCGAGAACTCGGGTTCACGGTGTGTCTAAGGACGTATCAGTTCAATTGGGCTCGAGCCGTTTACCTGGAGCCTCTCTCATTCTATAAGATAAGAAACCTATTATGTTACATTGTGCAATCTACCACATTACACTATACTATAGTTTTTAGAATGCTGGCTTCGCCCAGGGCCGCAACAGCTGCTTTAAATCAAGGCTGCAGAACGATCTGCTCGAAATGGTTCTGAAACCAAGACAGCTGCAGGGTTCACCCTGAAACACCACCCTTGTCGCTGAGGGACTGGCTTCCGCGAAGACCTCAGATGACCGACTGACGGATTTTTTTTTACCCTTGATTCAACTAGGATCCTGACATAGGTATGTTAAAGCCGCGCTGCTGATACCTCTATGCCTTTATGTAGGCATTTGTTGCTTCTTCATCTTGGCTGTGTGCAAGAAGTTGGTATGAACGAGCTGCAACCCCATCATGGTGGTGGTCAGTCATTCTTCTTCCTCCCCTCAGCCGTCAGCTCAAGGATAACGTGCTCAGTAGCAGCAGCGGCAGCTGTGGTAGCAGTAGTAGTGGGAGAAGGAGGCGGATAAGGAGGAGGAGCATTCATCGTGTCCGTCTTAATAGCAGTAGCAACAGCTGAAGAGCTGAACAGCTCGTACTCTTCCTGTCGGCACCTCCGTGAGAACGATTCTGCCGGCAACTGTTGGCTCCGACCTTTTTCGAGAAGACACATGATACAGGGGCGTAACCCCAAAACTGTCTGGTGCTTTGTAGGGAATGGGGGAATGGATCCCTATGATAGCCCCTTAAGGTCCCTTATAGTAGTCCCTATGTCCCATTCCCCCATTCCCTACTAAGCACCAGACAGAAAACCCTGTTCAAATTATTCGCGCTCATTTTAGAGGAAGTGATCATCAAGAGTTGGCGCTCCTCCCGTCCTAAAGATTCGAAGAGCTCGACCAAAGGCGCATGATCTTGCAAGCTTGTAAGAGCTCCTGCTGTAATGATGATCGTGACATGAGGGTCGAAAAATTCCGGGGTCGTGAGGTTTGCCGCATGGTTCCGGTGTAGATGTTCAATGCTTCCTTGGAATATGAATGCAGCACCTCTTGCGGTTTAAGGTTCAGGGTTTAGGGTTTAGGGTTCAGCAGCTCCGGATCGAGCAGTCTCTAGTCCAGCTCGTTTTTCAATCCTAGAAGAATACCCACCCACCCAAAAAAGCCCATAACATCAGAAGACAAAAACTCTTGTTCTTATTTCTCTGTTGGTATCAATCGCCTTCGCTTCACAGACACTACATATAAAACCGCTTGAGCCCTAAACCCTGGAGCCCTAAACCCTATACACTTGCAGCCATCACACCACTGCCGATCAGTTTTCATGGTGACTCTGTCTGTGACTGTTTAGTGAGATCTGGGCACTATTTCGTGAGATTTGTGCCATTTGGCCCAATTTCCGCTTAGCAGTCACCTTCTTGAGCCTGAAATGGTGACTATTTAGTGAGATTTGGGCCATTTGGCCCAAAATCCGCTTCGCAGTCACCTTTTTGTGACTATTTAGTGAGATTTTTTTGGTGACTATTTAGTGAGATTTGGGCCATCTGGCCCAAAATCGGCTTAGCAGTCACCTTTTTGACTTGGAAAAGGTGACTATTTAGTGAGGTTCGCCAAAATCTAGCAGTGACTTTTTGAGCCTGGAATAGTGACTATTTATTGAGATTTGGGCCATTTGGCCCAAAATCCGCTTAGCAGTCACTTTTTTTTAGCTGGAAACGGTGACTATTTAGTTGTTAAGGCCCCTACATTAAGCCAGTAACGGGTTAGGTTTAGGGTTTAGGGGTATGATTTAAGCTCGGGTTGAAGATGTAGCTCTTTAGGTCCCTCAGGCCTAGGCCTTGAAATCTGAGGGTTTAGGGTTCACAACCTTACAACCGTAGGACATGCGGCTGATGATATCAATCCTGCATTACCCATAAGAAGGAATATACCAGAATTCCCATAGTTTAGGGTCCTTAGGGTACTGCAGGATTTATATCATCAACTGTACGACCCTAAACCGTGTAGAGTATACCGGAACATCCTAAACCCTAGACCTAAACCCTAACTTTTCGAGGCTTCCTACCATGAATACCCCAACACACGAAACCTTAAAGACCCGGAGCCCTGAGCCCAGTTTAGGGTTTAGGGTTTACTTAAAGGGTCATGGGACTTAGTAAGTAGGGTTATAACTAAGGTAACTATACCTATATTTACTAATAACCACCACTTAAGAGACTTATAACCTTACTTACTAAGTCCCATAATCCCCCAAGTAGAGTTGAGGGACCACTGAAAACAAAGGCCTTGAGCTCAAAGTCCTGTGCAGCGAGATGCAGAAGGCGACGTAAACTCGGAGATGCGGGGGATACGTTCAGGGTTTTAGGGTTTATGGCTTCAGGGGTTTGGGGTAAAGGGGTTCCTTTACAACGATCCAAAGGGGTTCTGAAGGGATCTATGCAGGCTCTATACGTGGCTTTTGGGTCTGTTTTCTGAACTCAGAGTTTAAGGTTTAGGAGATATCTGCATCCACTAAAGGCAGTGTACAGGAACTCCCTTAAAGAGAACCTTTATAATCCCTTACAAGGAACCCTTAAAGGAACCCTGAAAAGGAGACCAAGGACCCTAGACCCTAAAACCCCAAAGCGCCAAAGCCCTAAACTCTAAATCCCGGTCCACAGCTTTACAGCTTTAGAGTTTAAGGTTTAGGGCCTTAAAGCGCTCGCTTAGCCGAAGCGTCCTGGGCACATGGCAGAAGAATGGGTCACGCTATCCCCTTACAGTCCCAATTATTTTGAGCTGGAGGTTTCTATCACCTGACAGTCCCTACAGAATTGGACGAAGATCTGCTCTTAGGGTTTTTAGGTTTAGAGTTTAGGGTTTTGCTTTTAGGTGTTGAGGGTTTAGGGTTCAGGGATATGCCCCGCAACCCTGTTGAACTGCTTCAAAAACCCCAAACCCTAAACCTTCGACCCCTAAACCCCTAAGCCCAAACCCTAAACCCGGGGCAGCCACATTACCCTCACCCATGACAAAGCTCTGGGAAACAGACGCGAGCAGGACACTAGGCAACGCCTGCCTCAGGACAAAACAATAATGTATCTAGAGGCCTTTATAATTACTTCTACTATTCTGGGAGTTCCTTGCCATATTTATACTATAAAGGAGCTCAGAACCATATTCTAATTTTTGAGGCCTGTATATTATGACATCTTCCCCAGCTGAAATGGCTCGTCCTGCAATTGCTCGGGACAGAAATCGACCACGTCTGGAGTGGTCTTTCACTTTGCAGCTCTTGAACACACTATAAAAACCCACAGAACCCTTGATCAAACCCTACAAGAACCCCAAATGGGTAGTTCTCTAAATTAGGGTCCCTTTTGGGGTCCTTTTTATAAGGGTGCCGTACTACTTGGAGTACTTGGTGGATCATGGGACTTGGTCAGTCAGGTTAGAAAACCCTTAATTGGGGTTATAAGTAAATATAAAACAGCTACCTTGAGTATATTGGGGGACCTGAAAAGGGACCCTTAACCCTAAACCCTTGACCCTAAACCCTTAACCCTTAACCCTAAACCCTAAACCCTAAACCCTTAATCCTAAACCCTAAACCCTTAACCCTAAACCCTAAACCCTTAACCCTTAATCCTAAACCCTAAACCCAAATTAAGGCTCTGTACATTTCGGCCTTAGAGGCCGCACCCCTCGCTCTCCAAAAGCTCAGCGATGTGCCGGGTCTCCCGGGATCTCGCGCGAACGAGTTGAGGCTGGCAAGGGCTGCGCTGAACGAGGAGGGTTCAGGGTGAAGGGTCAGGGCAGATGGATCGGAGTTTTATTTCCGAAGAAGGAGGTGCTTGGGCGTTTTAGTGGGGCATAATTATGATGATTCGCCATTTGGATTTTCAGGGTGGCCTCTTTGGATACCACTCTTTCGCGTACTTCTACCGCAAGTACCCAGACCCCCGGAAGGATCGGAAAAGCTCGTCCCAAAATTTGGCACCCCATACTACTATAGAGTACATTTTATAGATAAATTACTAAACCCTAAACCCTAAACCCTAAACCCTAAACCCTAAACCCTGAACCCAATTATAGTGGGTCTCTCAGTTGGCCCTTTCTCCCTTTTTGGAGTCTTAGGTTCCTTGCTTTACTCGGCATTTAAGTATAGGAACCTCCTTAAGGGAACTACTTTTCTGGATCGTCCCTCATACGACGACCCCTTTTTGAAGCCAGACCTTTGCCCCGAATAGGGTTTAGGGGTTTAGGGGTTTGGGGTTTTGGGTTTAGGGGTTCAGTGTTTTGGGGTTTAGGGTTTAGGGTGTTGGGGTTTAGGGGTTTAGGGGGTTTCGCGGTTTGCGGTTCAGAGTGTTGGGGTTATGGGTTCAGGGCTTAGGGCAGCCCGAAAACGATTACATTCCTGAAGAGCCCGCGAAAAATTCCTTAAATACCGAGCCCTCGGACAAGAAGGAGCTGCAGCCTTAAAATCTTATACGCCAAACCAAAAGCCCAAAGCCCTGAAATTCCTCAAAACACAATCCCTAAGCACTACCCACAGGCCCTGAAGTAGTTCCTTTTGGGGTTCATATATAGAATCCTCTAAGGTAACCCCAACAAGGAACTACTATGGGGCCTAAACCCGCAACCCTGGGCCCTCAGACAAGGCACCGTCATCATTTTCGTTAAACCCTAAACCCTAAACCCTAAACCCTCAACCCTGGGCCCTCGGACAAGGCACCGTCATCATTTTCGTTATCAGCATCGTCAGCATCGCTACGGTATCATCTAGTCATCGACATCTTGAGCCGCGGTTTTTGCTGGGGGCTGGGACCTAAGACAAGAGCGAGCCCAGAAACCCTAACCCCTTAAACCCTAACCCTAAACCCTAAACCCTAAACCCTAAACCCTAAACCCCAAATCCTAAACCCGAATTCTTTCCTTCAGGGCCTTCTCGGACTGCGACAAGAAGCTGGAGCTTGTGAATCAGCTCGGGCGCCCAAATGAGGGTTTAGGGTTTAGGGTTTGTAGTGTAGCACACTTGTGT